GGCGTGACGGAGCCAGGGCACAACAAGCTTGGCACCGCACGCCTGCTCCCATCCTGGCTCTCTCCAGACAGTGGCACCGCTCTGGGGCTGGAGGCTGCTCCAGCAGAGCTGCTCCAGTGAGGGGTGGGAGGTGCGGCCCCTCCATGGCCCCTCTCTGGCTGCCGCGGTGGCAGAGCCTCGCTGGCGGTCGCAGTGCGGTCGTGGCCGGTGGTCACAGTGCTCGCACCAAGGGGGATGCAGCTCACGGCTCCTCCGTGGGCACAATCGGTGCTCACCCCACCCCTCCTGCCCCCACACCTGGTGCCCCTGCCTTGTCCTGCAAGCACCGTGCCGGGTTTGGTTCTGGCAGAGCCCTCCGCTTTCCCTGCCAGCTCTGAACTCGTTAGCAGCCAGTTCTTGGCGCTCCTCAGTGAGAGCGAGGGGCTGCGAGCGCCGCCTGTGCCGCGGGCCAGGGCTGGCTGCCGGCTCCCACTGGGGCGCCGGGAACCGCAGGACCCATCTGGGGACCACATGGGAGCCGGGAAACACCCGCTGACAGCCCCGTGGAAGCTCTTCCCCTCCTATCCTCAGCAGGACCACGATGGGGACAGGATGTGGGTTGGGGGTCCCACCCCCACAGGGAGCCCAGGGGAGAGGTGAAGCAGGGCAGGGGATTAGAGTAGTCTGGTGAACGTGGCCAGGCTCAGTTTGCCGTGTTTCAGTAGCCTCTGGGCACACACGGGGCACCCAGCTCCAGGAGCCAGGATTCAGCATGGATAAAGAGCCCGGAGGTGCAGCCAGGGAAGTAAGTCCTCCTGTCATCATCACCGTGGCAGAGCCTCCTCTTGCGTGGCATGGAGCAGCTTCTTCACAGCACTCTGTCCCCCTCACCCTGGGTGAGAGCCCTGGGGATGTGGAAGCCATCCCGTGGCCTGTCACACTCACGTTACCTGCTCCCACCCTCCAGTCCTTGCTGGGAGCTGGGCCAGCTGCTCCACAAGGCAACCACGCTGGCATGGGAGGGAGTCAGGGCTGTCACTGCTTGCAGGCTGTTCCCACTGCTTTGTCCCCAGGGCAGCTCTCAGCAGAGCCAGCAGCCAGCACTTGGGGCTGGTGAAGCACACGTCCCCTCACCGTGTCCAGCGTGGCTGGCAGCAATACTGAGAGCTCTGTCTCCTGTGCCTTGCAGAGTGTCCCGGGACACGACAACAACAAGGACTCCCGGCTGCTCTGGATGGGCTCCAGCGATTGCCTCATCTCTGTCGGGTTCAGCCAGGTACAGTCCTCACCAGGAAGGTGGCCCTGGCACCACTGGCATGTTCCAGCCCAGTAGTTGCTCCCTGAGGCTGCCAAGTGCTTTTTGCGTGGCCTGTCCCCCATGAAAGCAGGAGGTCCCCCTGCCAAGTGCCCTGGCCCTTGCTGGGATGGTGGAAGGTGGCTGGCGAAGGCAGCGGCACCGCGGAGCCATCCAGGCAGCCCCGGTGCCCACTGACACCGTCTGTGTCTCTGCAGATGCGGGAGCGGGAGGTGAAGCTGTGGGACACACGGAAGCTCACCGGGGCGACGCTCACCATGGCACTGGACACCTCACCTGGGTAGGGACGGGGACTCAGCATGGGGTGGGAGGGTGAGCAGTGGAGATGTCATGGTCAGAGACCCATCAGGAGCGTGGTGGTGGAGCATGAGCTGGCATGGAGCTCCTGGAACCAGCAGCTCTCGGCCACAAAGCGGGTGACAAATCTGGGGACAGCACAGCTGCATCCCCATCACAGTTTTGGTGAGAGGGCAGAGGCAGTGCTGGCGAGGGCACAGAGGTGTTCTGTAGTGCTGTGGTGTGTGGTGGCACTGCTGGGGACAGCGTCTGAGGTGGCTGCTGGCTGGGTGGGCTTGTGCACTGGGGCAGCACCATGAGATGCTGCAGGCAAGTGAATCCCTTTGGCGCTGCTGGAACACCGGAGCAGCTCAGCCCTGGCCTCCCACTCCTGCCGTGCTTTGTGCCGCGGTGCCGTGCTGGCTGCCCAGCCAGCTGTGGCCAGGCTGCGTTCACCAGGCACCCCCGGGGAAGTGGAAAAGGAGCTTTGGTGGTGTAAGGGGTCAGCGCCCCTCGTCACGGCACGATGGAGCTGTCTCCATCTGCAGGGCACTGCCAAGGCTGGGAGCCCTCCAGTTAGAGCTGACCTGGCTTCTCCCACGCTGCCCAGTGAGCTGGCCTGGCGTCACCATGTGGGCAAGGAAATGGAAGGAGGAGGAGGAAGCTGCGCCTTCCTCCCACCAGGGTGATGCGGGTTTGGGGCACAGTACTTGTTGGGATGCACTGGAGGCCACCAGCCCTTCCCAGGGCTGCTGGCAAAGCGCTGGCTTGCTGGGAGCCTCACTGTGTGCCGAGCTGGCTCTGTGATGGCCTGGGATGCTGGGGCAGGCTGGGTGGTCGGCAGCCAATGCAGGGCCTTTGGTGAGGGGCTGAGTGAGCTGTGACAGCCCCTTGGCTGCCCTGCCAGCAGCCCCCACACCAGTGTCAGCTCCAGGCCAGAGCTGACAGCAGCCAGGACAGACAGGAGAGGAGAGGACCTGCCCTGGGCATGGTGGGGTGGTGTTGGTGTGGTGAGAGCAGGGGGAGAGGCTGCCTAAGCATCCCTCACCCTCCTGCCAGCTGCCAGGGGAGCAGCTCCCAGCTCTCCTGCTCACCAGATCTGCCAGTTCGGTGAGCAAAGGCCATCATCAGTGTCCAGTGAACGCTCTCAGGGGAGGCTGAGGCTGCTACAAGGGGTCGCCTCGGGGTCCATTATTGCTCTTGGCGGAGAATCCATTGGGAATTACCCCGAATCCTCGCTGGGCCGGGGCGAGCCAGCCGGGCTAAATGGGATGCAGGCGCTGCTGTGCTCGGCCCCCTCAGCACAGGCTGCAGTTATTTTGGCTGCCGGGTTTATCGGCGCAGGAATGCGGCTGGCGGGCGCTGCCTGCGCGTCACTCCGGGGCCCTCCGGCTGCG